GCTTCCGACTTCTCCAACGGCCGCCTCTACAGCACCGCCGGTCCGTCGGATTCCATCACGGAGGCTGATTGCAGACAGCTCCAATCATCATCCCATGTCCGTGCTCAAGCCCCGTCGTCAGTGCTGCACATGAAGATGGTGGTTTGCAGGGTCCACATCGGTGTCGCAGTCTCGGTCGATCGGAGGCCATAGCTTGTCGGCGAGCCCGGCTGGAGCAGACCGCCGTCATAGGAGAGATCCTCATGGCGGCGTCGCAGTCGAGGTCGGCTCGGATACCAAAGATTACCGGCGAGCGGGACACGAGCAGCGGCAGTGGGATTGGAGCAGACAGTCAGCGAGACTCTCTCCGATTGCGTCCAGTTGGCCGAAGAACCGTATCCGGAGGAGAAGCAGACCTTCCTAGATCCCTGCAAAATTAACATTGAATTGGCCCAATTGGGCATTGTTTTTAAAAATTAAAATGTTCAAGGATCTAAATGCAATTTTGTAAATTTTAATTATATTTCAATTTAGCCCACATGACAAATATGTAACTATTGAAGATTAATAAAAAAAATATTATTTTTTTTATATTAGTATGCTGAATAATTAATAAAATACTAAATAAAATAATTTAAGATATTAAAATAATGTAATAATAATAAAATAAAATAATAAATAAAATATTGAATAAATATATAATAACATATTTTAATTATTTCGGGTAATTGGGTGTATAATTATATCTACAAAATTTTAGTTTTTAATAGCCGTAATGTAATGCACTTTATATAACAACACATCGCACTTTTTATAAAAACATGTTGCACTTTATTAAAAGGCACGTTGCACTCTATATTAGCCAAACACGACCTGGTCCTGACCTGCGTTATTGCACCATGGCTTCTCTTGGATCAAAGTCAGCTTTTTTTCTTTCTCTTCCTGCATAATTTTTTCGAAATTTTAGTTAATGTAAATTCAAAATTTTCATTAAATACCCTAAATTACGCTTAATCAATGTGATCAAATGATAATTTACAGTAGCGCACATTATATATATATGATTTTACTTTTAAAATCACGGTTATTTCCTTTCAATTCCGGCTTTAGTTTTTATAATGAATAATTGAACCGATCGAACTAAATTTTTCGAATCAAATCTTATATTTTGGTTCGATTATTATTACTTTTAAATCATTGTTATTTCAATTCGATATGATTTTATTTTTTAAAAAATGATTGAATCGACGGAACTATATGAAAAAAACAATATTATTTTTTCTTTATATATATATATATATATATATATAGGACTGGGCAAAAAATTCAAAC